CCCCAAAACCCCAAAACCCCAAAACCCCTAATCTGAAATACTAAATTGAATTGAACAAGATTAATTCTAATAAATTCTACTGTCTGTAGTCAAGTCGGTATCCCTTCTTATCTGATATGGTGAATCTGGGATGATTCGTGTTCAGCATTATCTCAGTTCCAACCCTGGCATCTCTAAATTCTTCACAGAATTTGAGCAGCTCCGAGTGAAGTTTAGCAACTTTCTCAAACTCTTCCACTGATTGTGTTTTCTTCTTAGGAAATTTCACTTTGATTTGATCTTCAGTCATTAATTTCACAGTTTTTATCATATAATTATTTCTGAGAGAATGCATTATCTGCTGTACATGCTCAATATGAACGAGATTCAGCTCAAGATCTTTGATGCTAAGATTAGCTTCTCAGAGCTCACAAACCTTCCGGACTACTTCATCATGGTGAATGATTCCTTCAGACCTAAACTCTTGCAAATGAGTGTCTTTAAGAGCTTCTAGAAGATCACAAAGTTGGTCTGCAGCACTATCTTTTCTGTATTCTTTGATGAACTCTTCATCTGATTCCAGGTATTCGCCAGTTATTGGTCAAAATTTAGCAACAGTGCCTTGATTAAACACAAAATAAGTATTCACAACGATTGACAACAAAGCATTCTCAGGAAGAGCCTGGATCCCATCAAGTCAGTGTGAATAGTCAACTTTGGCTTCCAAATCCGAGTCAGTCTGAGAACTTATCGGAGGCTCAATAAATACATTGAAAGTGTAATGAGGTCTCTCTCCAGCTAGGCTACTCTTGAAATATGTCAAAGGACATGGCCCTTCTAAGTTATCAATGATCCTCCAATACGCTAAGTTGTCGTCAAGGTTATTAACCTGCTTAACTTCCCTTTGAGGTCTGATAACCAGATCCTTTAGGTAAAACTTGAATATTATTGGTGGATAATTATCGAAATCAAACAGATCTTGGTCTGGTTTTTGTATCTTATCCATATACATAGATTTCTTTGCTCTATCTCTTAGAGGAGCTAAGTTTGTAATACTTATATAGAGGTTGTCACTCTCAGCTTGAAGATATACAGGCATTCCTAGCTGGTCGTTCTTTAGTGTTGAATCTTCTCCCTCATTCTTGAAAATTCTAGACTCTTCGATGACTCTGAATTCATCAGAACAAAGTCCTATCTTGAGAGTAGAAGCAGCAAAGATGTGCAACTGGTTGGTGTCAGGGTCAATGTATATGACTTCAGCTTTGTTTACTTTTAGATCTAATCTTTCTTCGCTCTGGTCATAATTATTGTAAAATTTGAGTGTCTTAATCGTAGGTAGTTTCACAAAGTTTCCCAAGTTATGACTAAAACATTGAGACAACAAGTTCTGTAGCATCGAGCTATCGTGGAAACTAACCTTGGATAGATTAGGAACGTAGTTTAGTAATATTTCTAAACCCTTCATCATTCGCAGATACTCTTGATTGAATAAATCTGATGGGTCAAGTCCAACATCCATTTGAATATTACTACAAATTCTGTGCTCAAATTGGACTGTCTTTCTATTCATATACAGATCTTTTAGAGTTTGAGGTGTTATCGAAAGAAGTTTGTAGTTATTCTCTAGCATCCTTTGAACATTCTCAGTCATAGACCCTCCAGACTTTTTCAACTCCAAAGCCGACTCAGAGATATTGAGATCTCAAAGTGACTCAAAAGTATGGATCAGGTCTAGCCCAATACAAGGGTTATAAGAGTAAAACGAATTCTTTATGCAATGTTTTTGTAGCAAAATAGCTCAAGTCTCATAATCGAAATACACATGACTTCAATCAAATCCTTTCCGTAGATAAGCCTCCATGAATCTCTGTCAACTATTCAGTGATCGCTCGTTAAGCTCAATACTGATATCATAAAACTGATCCTTATGATATATGGCCATCTGATCTATAAAATACATAATTGCTCTGAATGACTGTACTGACTTGAGGTTTAGACTCAAACTGAAGTACAGATGATTATTAAAAGCTAGCAGTCTATTAGCATTACTCTTTGTAAACACGCCTTTGATCTCTTTTATCAGAGTGCTCTTTTTAAAGTCCATGATTACACCAAGAATTGGCTTGAGGCTTCCAAGCCAGATCTCTCTGGATTTCTTATCTAGCTGGAGGAGTAGCTCTGCTCACTCGCTGATGTATCCATAATAAGGCACTAGAATGCTCAGTAATGATAGTTTGTGAGTAATTGTAATTTTCTTTTTTACAATAGTTTCCATATTCAATAAAATTATATAACCTTGGGGTTTTGGGGTTTTGGGGTTTTGGGGTTTTGGGG